CGACTTTTCCGGCGAGGTGCTCCAGTCGACGACGCAGCTGCACAAGATGAGTACCGTGAGCGAGCACTCGCTGAACGGCGCGCTTCGCCCTGGCGGCGTCCTCAACATCCTTAGCCGCGAAGCCATTGGGCTCCTCGGCCAGTACGTCGCCGTCGGCATGATCTACGGTCTCCTGCCTGCGCTTGTGTACCCCGTCTATATTCAGTACATGAACTTCAACGGGTACCAAGCCGCGTCGTATACGTCGATTGTCAATATCTGCTGGTCGTTCAAGATCTTCATGGGGGTCCTCACCGACTGCTTCCCGCTCTTTGGCTTCAAGCGCAAGCCGTACATGGTGCTTGGCTGGTGCATTGCGCTCATTTGCATCTGCTGCATGACCTTTTCGACGTTTCCGGCGCCGTATGTGGGCCGGCCGCTGTCGTCGCTGTCGCACGACACGATCGCGATGCTTCGCGGCGGCAATCTCTCGGAACTCAACGCAACGGCTCGGGTGCATGTCAACGTGCAAGCCTCGAGCCAAGCGGGCTACTGGATCATACTCTCGACCATCTGCAGCTTTGGCTACATGCTCGCCGATGTGGCCGCCGACGCCATGGTGGTTGAGTACGCCCAGCGCGAGCCGATTCTGGTTCGCGGCCGGCTCCAGTCGATCATTTACGGCACGCGGTTTGCGTCGTCGGTCGTGCCGCAGCTCATTGCGGGCATTTGCATGAACAGTTTCGAGTACGGCGGCAACTTTGACTGGTCCATCACTCCGAACGCCGCATTTGGTATGCTCGTGGTGCCGTGTCTCCTCGCCATATACTGCGCGCTCTTCCTCGTCGTCGAGGAGCGCGACGTGCGGCCCGTCTTTAGCGCGTACATGGGTCGGCTCTGGCGCCTCCTCGAGCTCCGCGTCGTGTGGCAAATCTGTCTCTTTCGCTTTTGCAGCAACGTCTTCTTTTCGTTTGAAGCGACCGCGATCCCGAGCATGAAGAGCGCGTGGGCCAACGTCCAGCCGCTCACCAACTCGATCTTTGGCGTGCTCAACACGGCGCTCATGGCCGCCGCCATCTTCGCCTGCGGGCAGTGGGGCCTCAACCTCAATTGGCGCCACGCGATCGCAGTTGCGACGATTGCAATTGCTGCGATTGACTCGACGGTGCTCCTCTCGGTGACGTGGCATGTGACGCGGAGTCCGTACTTTTTCATGGGCCGGCTACTGCCGAAAGCCCTCCCGAGCGCGATCCGGTTTGCGATTTCGTCGTTTTGCGCAGTTGAGATTGCCGACATTGGCAACGAAGGCGCCGTCAACAGTCTCATCACGACGATCGTCAACCTCGCGACGCCGTTTTCCACGGTCGTGTACAAGCTTGTCGATTCGTACTTTGACGTCTCGGTCGCCAACCTCGCAACCGACTCGGTGAGCGTGCGCTGGCAAGTGACGTACGTGCTCTTGATCTCGCTCGGCATGAAGCTCTTCTCGCTGGTCTTTCTCGGATTGCTCCCGCCGCAGAAAGCTGCGCTCCAGTGGCTCAAGAAGCGCGGCGGCTACAACCGCGGTGCGGCGTGGGGGATTGTGATTGGCTTCTCCACTGCGCTGCTTTTTGCCATTGTGAGCAGCGTTATGGCGCTCTTCCCATCGACCGCGTGCTATCGCATTGCGGGCGGTAGTGGCGAGGCCATTGTTCGCAACGGCGTTGCGATCTGCGGCTGGGTCGACTCCACCGGCACTTTAACGACGAGCCACAACGACTAGGTGCTTGGGTACTATTTTATTATAAGCATGGATGATAAGAATGAGAGCTTCTGCTTTAAAAGTACTACATCACTGGATCGATGCGGGCGACATTGTATACTCCGCAAGAGTGGTCGCCATCTTGCACTTGCATGGCCGGTGCCACTCTACCGCAGGCCATCCCCGTACTGTCGACAGGATCATCGCGGTGGCATGACGGTGTAGAGAGGCGGTGATTGTTCTTGATGTCGACGCCGAATCTCAGATTTCGCCCGTACGATCGAATGGCAAGTGATGTCGGTAACCTTTGAGTCAAGCAAGCACCCGCTGACCTGTCTCGGTCAGCCACCTATATAAAACGAGCCCTACCCCAGTGCTTCGCTTCACCAGGTATTCTGCTAGGTGTGCTCTGATTGGAGACGACACGCTGTCATCGACCCTGAGTGTTCGGGGATCCAGCTCTTGCCGTCGCCCCTGGAGTGTCGGGCATGAGTTTATGCAAGCAGCCTATCCACTGGATACCTCGCACCAGCTTTGCCACCACGCCACACTTGCCAGACACCAAGAGTAGCCATACTCACGGTAGCACGATGGCGCGGGATGCTGGCGCGGGATGATGAGATCGCTCTGAACCAAGGGTCAGTAAACAGTGCATTGGCCCTTGTCTTATCGAACGTTAGACCACCGAAATATGGTTGAAATAACAACGTAGCTTGCCTACTAAGCGCGGTGTCGAGGTGGCCTCATCATCTTGCCACTCTTTGCACGCACGCAACCACACAACCTGGTGCGTTGGTGGCCGCCTGTTTTGCGAACAGATGGTTCCTGGAAGACACCGATGTTGTTGTTGAACTGAGTTATATTACATGCAATTATGAAGATATTGTGGACTTCCTAATGCGCTCGTGAGGCTTGGCCGGTGCGTCAGCGAGGAGCGTTAGTGGTCGTGATTCAAGATTGTGCGAGGGACCAGGTAGTGTGCACACCAAGGGTCGTCGCGGAGGATGTCACCGATGTTGCTGCTGGATAATAACGAGTCAAGGGACGACAACGAATTGCGGGCAGTTGCAGTCGACGACCTCCTTTCGAGTGTGTTAAAAATGGCGCGTTCATTTCATTGGGATGCGAACATGGCCGCGAATACTCCGTGGGATTCGGTCCAGAGCATCGTCCAGCGTCGAGTCCTCGCACACTGAGGTACGTTGCGTGGTGTCCGCCTTCTTTCACCCACCAGCACCACCAGTGCCATAATAAGATCTCAACATCTGAAAAGCAATTCATTTCCTGAAAATGGATGCGAGTGACGAGCGTCTAGAGTCATACAGGTACATGGTAGGTAGTATCCCAAATGTGCGTGGGTGGCGAGCTCCGCCCATACTGTAGCGAGATGACGTGGGTACTCTTAGAGACGGGAGACACCGTGGGATGTGGTCTCTGGTCGAGGTCACTGATCAGGTCGGTCGCGACAACATGCGGGTGGCCATGGTCACAACTCATTTTGCTTGTTCCGAGAGTCTAGAATGGGCCACGACGACAAGATTTGGCTCTACTGCGAGTCGGCGGACGACGACCTCACGAGCTACGAAGACGTCACGCTGGGCCTCACGCTCCAGACAGCCACGATCACCAAGCCCCTCGACGAAGGCGCGCTGCGCCCCGGCGGTGCCCTCGACCTCTCGAGCCGTGAAGCCATCGGGCTCTTGGGACAATACGTCGCCGTCGGCATGATCTACGGCCTCCTTCCGTCGCTCACGTACCCGCTTTTTACCCAGTATCTCAACTTTGACGGGTACCACTCGGCGTCGTACAGCGTGCTCGTCAACATGTGCTGGTCGCTCAAGATCTTCTTTGGTCTGATCACCGACTGCTTCCCGATCGGCGGCTATAAGCGCAAACCGTACATGCTTCTCGGCTGGCTTCTCTCGCTCGGCTCCATCTGCGCCATGAGCTTTCTTCCGTTTCCATCTCCGTACCTCGGCCGCGGGCTCGCGCACAAGTCGGACGCTGTCGTGCACCGCCTCCGCGCGGGCAACTTGACCGACCTCTCGCCCACCGAGCGGGCTCTCGTCAACGAGTCAGCGACCGAAGACGCTACGCTCTGGATCCTTCTCTCGTGCGCCTGCAGCTTTGGCTACATCCTCGCCGACGTCGCCGCCGATGCGATGGTCGTTCAGTACGCCCAGCGCGAACCGATTGCGATCCGCGGTCGGCTCCAATCGATGATCTACGCGACGCGGTTTGCGTCATCCCTCGTGCCCAACGTCGTCACGGGATTTTGCATGAACAGCTTCGAGTACGGCGGCGACTTTTCTTGGTCGCTAAGTCCCAACTACGTCTACGCAACGCTGCTCTTGCCGTGCGCGGTCGCCCTCTACTGCACGCTCTTCCTCATTGTCGACGAGCGCGCCGAGAAGCCATATTTGCGCGACTACGTGGGCCGGCTCTGGGAGCTAATCCAGCTCCGCGTCGTGTGGCAGATCTGCATCTTTCGTTTTTGCAACAATGTCTTTTTCAACTTTGACGCGACGGTCGTCCCACTCATCACGTCGACGTGGGCCGGTGTCGAGCCCTTGGCCATTGGTGTCTTTAGTATCCTCAACGCGCTCTTCACAGCTGTCTGCATCTATGCGTGCGGCAAGTGGGGCCTCCACTGGAACTGGCGCGTCGCGATCGCGCTCTCGACGATCGCGATTGTCGTCATTGACGCTACCGTGCTCTACTGTACGACGTGGGCGCTGGCGCGGAACCAGTACCTTTTGTTGGCGGCTTCATGCCCGACGCCTTTCCGAGTGCGATTCGGTTCGTCATCTCGGCCTACTGCGCGGTCGAGATTGCCGACATTGGCAACGAAGGTGTCGTGCACAGTCTGGTGACGTCGATCGTCAACCTCGCAATACCCGTCGCGACGGTATGCTACAAGTACATCAACTCGTTCTTTCACGTGACGCGCCAAGACATGGTCGACGACACGTACGACGTACGCTTCCAAGTGACGATGATGCTCACGCTGTCGTTCGGCATGAAATTGCTCTCGCTCGCATGGCTCGTCTTGCTGCCGCCGCAAAAGGCTGCCGTCCAGTGGCTCAAGCAGCGCGGTGGCTCGAACGCCATCGTTGGCGGCATCGTTCTCGGCGTCTATTTCCTCGCCATGGCCTTCTCGATTGGTACCAATGTCATGGCACTGTTCCCGAGTACGTCCTGCTATCGCATCGCCGGTGGCAACGGCCAGCCCACCTTCAACCGAACGACTAACGCAACCGTGTGCCTCGGCGGGTTTTGAGAGTCCTATATCGTATCCAAGAGTCGAGTGCCTCGACGATCTTAATCTATTCTATTTTGCACTTGTGACGTGCGTTGGTAACCCGTGCGCGCTTGTCAAGAAGACCTACGACCATCTCAAACCGCAATCTCAACCGCAATCTCAAACTGCAATCGCAACGGCAAAGTGAGTTGGCGCCTGCACGGATAACGGTCGTGCCGTTTTGGTCGGTATGGAGCTCGTGCGCAAGTCGTCCCATGGGCTGCGCTACGCGCCGTCGTCCTCCAAGAAGAAGGCGACCATGACGGTGATGCCGTACTCTGGTTTGGGCCAGCTGTCCTCTTCCGACGACGAAGTCGACGAGCAGCTTCGCCGCGAAAGCCAAGAGGGGTCCCCCACGTACCCGTCTCGGTGGGTACCCCCCGTTTCCCGCCACAACAACAACCAAGAGACCGAGGTCTCCCCTCGAACATCCTCGATATCGTCCCTTTACGACCCCCCCAGCGACGTCAAAGCCAGCCCCCGACCAAGCACGACGAACGACCCAGCGCGGGTTCTCATCACCGTGCGTCGAAAAGTTACGTTCGAAGCGCGCGTCCGGCTTCACGTCGACAAGCCTCCTGTCTACGTCGGGCGGTACAAGTCCGAGCAGTCGGCCCGCGATGCTTGTGCCCGCCTCCTGCAAAAGACTCTCGAGAGCACTGCCAAGTAACTCGAGAAAATCGTTGCGGAATTGTTGGTTGCTATGTTTACAAGGAATAGGTTAAGTTGAGGCTAGACTACAGACGGGGGCGGCATCTCGAGTCGCAACAGTGGTGTTACAAGCGTCGGTGTGATCCGCTTCGTGGGCTTGCGCGGTGTCGCGACCGACGGCGGCACGCCGAGCGAGTCCATGAGCGCCGAGCACGCGCCCGGGCCTTCGTCGAGGAACCCGTTAAAATCGGTCGAAAAGTTGAGTGTGACCTGCGGGTCGTGCGGGTCCCGCACTGGCACTTCGTGTGGCGACGGCAGAAAATCCAAGTCTAAAGGCACCGGAATCGGCTTCTCGACCGTCAAGTTGGTGGGCCGCGGTAGCTTGACTCGCTGTGGCGTCAAGTACTCGGTCTTGTTGGGCGTCACGAACGACGGCGAGGCATTCTCGTCATTGACTTCCATCTCCCAGCGGTACTCGAGCGTGACCGTGTCTACGAGGCCGTCCGCGGCGATCTGCCGGCAATGGCTGAAGATGTCGAGGCACGTGACGCTTATGTCGTGCGTGCCCCAGCCAGGGTGCAGCCGGTCGCCGAGGGGTACGACCCGCAGCGTCGAACGCGCCGGCAAGAGCGGCAGCACCGCCGCCCACTTCTTCATCATGTGGTCGCACACGTCCGAGATGCGCTTGCTGCTGCTCATCTTGAGCTCGACCTTGGGCATCGCGCCCGTTTGGCTCACAGCAGCTTGCGTGCGCTTGTCAATGGGCACCAGCCGGACTTTGATCTGGCGCTTCTTGCTCGGGGTTGTGAGGTCGTACACGTACGCAGGCGACGCCACCGAGGCCGCGCGCACGGGCGTCGGGCTTGACGCTGGCGACGACTCCCGGCTCGGGACGTGTCGGACCCGCTTCTCGGGCGTCTCAACCGTTGGCAGCGGCAACGCTCGCTTCTTCCGCACCAACGGGTGGTGGACGGGCGTTGTCGTCGTCGTCAGAGGCACTGTGGTTGCTGCACCCGGGGATGCGAGCTCTTTGGCGGTCTTCTTTTTCGCCGACTTGGCCGCGATCATCTGCTTGCGGCTCTTGAGAAACGACGTGGTCAAGCGGTGGACGATTGCGCGTTTCTGGGACGGGTTCTCGAGGTCGGCGCCGCTCATGGGCGACGACGCAAAGAGGCGGTACCAGCAGATGAGCGCCAAGCGCACTTCGTCGGGCTGGTTGGCGTCCATGGCCACTTGGCCAAACATGAGCAGCGACCGCACGTGCGCGACAATGGCAGTGAAAAAAGCCTCGATCTGGGCCACGGTCTTGGTCGGGATCTTCTTGCTGAGCTGGTCCCAGCGCTTCTGCAGACCGTCGCGCGCCGTCCACTTGGCCTTCATGGCCTGAAAAAGACGCGCTGGTCGTCCCAGACCCAGCCGCCCCACAAGCGGCTCGGGCTCTCGGCGTCGGTCGTCGTCTGGGGCGATTCGGTCGTCAAGTCGCAGGAAGCAAACAGCGCGTCGCACGAGATGTTGTACAGATGCAACGCGTCGTCGGCGCGGCCGCCAAGCGCGAACGCACCGTCCTTGGTCGGCGTCTGGAACGCCTCGGTGAGGCTCGCACACGTACTATGGGCCTTGACGGCGCCGAGCGGCGGCGACGCAAGGAGCGAGTCGGCCGAGTCGGACCAGGCGAGGTCGTGGAAGAACGCGTCGGCCGTCGTCGCGAGCGTCGTGTCCATCTTGTCGAGCCAGCCTTCTTCGAGGGGCACGAGCGAGGCGTCCCAGCTCATGGCGGCGGCGTCGACCGTGTGCTTGTCGCTCCCTACAGTCCGACCATGCATGAGCGCTCGATGGTCATCTCGCATGGCGGCAGCGTCTACCTGCATGCGGGTGCTGCTTCTTCATGAGGCGTCGTCGTCGTCGTCGGCGGCTACGGGCGTCGAGGGCGTCGAAGGCGGTCGCGTCGGCTTTGAAATTGGATTTTTGAGATGGAGCGCCACTTTCGTGCGCCAACTATTCGGTCGCTGATTGGCTGAAATCTAAACCGGGCGCAAAAGACCGCCTTTTTTCACGGTTGCCGCCGTGATTGGCACGTGTTACAGCCCACTTGGCGCCAAACGTGCGCGCCATTTTCGCCGTGGCAGAGGGTCCTCGGCGTCGACGGCCACGAAACATAGCAGCCGCCGAGAGCATCCATCTGCTGTTAATCGCCTCCTCGCGCTGCGTGGGTTTTTCCGACTGGCTACATGAGAAGGCGAGATCCAACCACCATCCCGCATGCCCAAGCCACAATGAAATCTGCATCGCATTCACTCGAGACGTTGCAGCACAGCGCATGGCAATGTACGGTCGATGCATTAGTCTGGTCCACTGAGTCTGGTCGATGCCTCGAGAACACTGCCACATGACAACGGTTTGAGGTTAAAGTGCGTTAAACGTCGCGCCACCGTCGCAGGGCGCTTGCACGGTCGGTCGACGAATCCAGTATCCATGGACAGAGATCCATGGATAGGATAGTAGTTGAGTATAAATCCATGGTCGAATGCTTTTAGGTCTCGCAGGTGTTGATTGGATACCGCCGTCAGCTTCTACAAGCAGCACAACATGGTTGTCGCGGTGGCACGGAAAGGCCGGACGGGGGCGCACTGATGCCGCAACGCCGTGCTTGAAACGATCGCTTCGATTAAAGAAGCCCGCCGTAAGGCTGTGCATCGCGTTGAGCGCTCTCCACCAATCTTGAGCATCGGTTGCAAAGCCAACCGAGCGTAAATATACCGACCAATGGCCCCCCCTGATGCCCCCCATCGCCCAATTTAGGCCGCCATCGCGCCTTTCATTGCCGACCTCATTCTTCTTTTGACCGTGCGCTTCGCACCCGACCAAGAAGCTCCGCAACTCGCCACCCCGCCGCCATGCCCAAGAGCCCGAAAGCCAAGAGCCCCACGAACGCGAACGCGCCCGCGGCGGCGAGCCCCAAGGCGGGCAACGGTGGCAATGTCACCGAGGCGCTCAAGCAAGCCTTTACGACGGCGCCCGAAAACCTCGACGTCGCGGCCGCCAAGGTCGCCGACGTCATTGCCGGCGCCAAGGACGCCAACCTCGGCGCCGT